ATACCGTCCATGCATCATCACCCAACCAAAGGGTATACCCTGCAAGCCTGCCCACCCCCACGGTCCTCAGCACACAGCCCCTTTCCCTCTCTGGATCTCAAGTCCCCAGCCACTGCATCTCTTGACGTCATCTTCTCTGCCTCCATCTTGGGCCTCACTGCTTCTCTGGGTAGGGTCTCACTCTCTGCTCTTCTCCATTGATGGTCCCAGGGCCCTCCGCTCCTAGACTGAAAAGTTAACCACTCCCCTCCTTGCTATGAAATGTCCACCTTTACATTTCCAACCCTCACAATCATTCCTGATAATAGTTATTCACTATTGCATCACAAGAGACCCATCTGTATTTCATTTCATCAGCCCTTTCTGGATAGGCTGGATACTATTCACTGGAGACTCTACCTTCCTCCACGCCCTTTGGATCTAGGTTCCCTCTTGAAAGCTTGTAAGCCAGTCACTTCTTACCTTTGTATTCCTCTCCCCCATTTTGGGTAGCCCATGTCCAAGTTGCCCATCCCTGTCGACTCTTTGTGTGGAGGAGGTGCGAATAAATCTTGCAGCAAGGATTTGTTTCCTCTTTTGAGCTACTGCATTTACAGATGTAGGTTAACCATTCATCTCTTGATGGGCATTTAGGTTGTTTCTTTTGGTTATGACTAGTGCTATGCAGTGAATACTGGTGTAGAATTCACTGTTTGAGTATCTGCTTTCAAATCTTTTGGGCATATACTTAGGAGTGGAATTGTTGGGTCTCATGGCTGTATGGTAGTTCTATTTTATTTTATATTTTGAGGAACCATCACATGGTTTCCCATAATAGCTGTACCATTTTGCATTCCCACCAGAAATGGGTAAGGGTTCCAGTTGCTCACATCTTCCCCAACATTTATAATTTTCTGTTTTGTTTCTAAAATTTTAGCCATCCTGGTAACTCACTGTAGTTTTGATTTGAGCATCTTTTCATGTGTTTAGTGGTAAATAGCCACTTCAGTGAAATGTCTGTTCAAGTCCTTTGCCTATTTTATGGTCAAGTTATTTGTCTTTTTGTTGTTAAGTTATTGAAATTTTAGATATATTTTGGTTATTGGATATATGGTTTCTGAAGATATTCTCCCAATTGGTAGATTGTTTTTTCACTTTTTTTTTTTTTAGTTTAGAAATACTTGTTGAAGAACAATTTGCCATGACATTCCTTTATCACAAACATACCATAGGACTTTAAATAGGCAACAAAAAATATCTGAAATATTTTTGAAAGTATATTGAAAATATATTTGGCAGTGTTAAATATATAGGCCCATGAAGATGGAATTGAGTAAGTGAAAAATGCCCATCCTTGATTACAGAGACTATTTGGTAATTAACAAAAATGTGCCTCTTGCATTAGATCACAATCATGGGAGGGCACCAGCTTCACAAACTGCAGGTGTGTCAATTCACTCTTTCCAAAATATAAAAAGAAAATAATTTAGGAATAAATCCAGGTTTTTAGATCACAGAGCTGTGACCTTAGAGTTTGGGCTTGCTTCATCTCCTTAGGTACATTCCCTAATCACTCCCTTCCTGGGAACTTAAACGTATAGGCTCAATACTTAACAAGATTGAAAATAACAATTTTAAACAAGGTGATATTAGGTTTGTTGTTGTTGTCAAGTTATTCAGAGCAGTTGGTAACCATGAGTCAGTTCAGACTCATAGAAATCTTATATAGGAGCTGCTGGTGGGTTTGAACCTCTGAAGTTTTGGCTAGCAGTCAAGTGCTTATCCTACAGCACTACTTGGGGGGGGGTGTTCAAAAATATTTTAAATTAAATTTATTTAAAATATCCAATTAATTTTTCAGTACACAGTTGAGATTTCTTTTCCTCTCATCCAAGGTGTAAGTTAAAAGAAAACCAAAATTCAACATACATGCCTTAGTTGGCAACATCTTTTTTTTGAGCACAAATATTTTATTCTATAAACAAAATGAAATGTTCTTTAAGAGTTATCTATAGTTCAAAGCTCACTTGTATGTGGTCTTACATTCTTCCCCCTTAAGAGACATATAAAGAAGTTATAAAAAGACTATCACCAAGTAACTACCTAAACATTTTCAATAAAGGGCAATGGACAGAGAGGACTCCTGGTGTGGTACTGTAGGATCAGCACTGGACTGTTAACCACAAGGTCAGCAGTTCAAACCCATCAGCTGCTCCTTAAAAACCCTATACAGAGTTTCTATGAGTTGGAACCAACTCGATGGCACTTCATAACAACAAAGGATAAAGAAAGTTAAGACTGATTTCACAAGAAAACCCAAAAGGGACAATAAGAATGAAGCAAGTTCAGCATGGTCATACAGATCTTGATAAAGTAATTAAGAATAGTAGGCAAGGGTGAGAAGGAAGGAAAACATGGTTTAAAAAGATCACATGAGGCAACCATTACAGCAAAAGTCATTTAAAACACAAGAAAGAAAAGACTAAAGTAAATGTCAGAACAAACTTTGAAACTTGCTCTCCAGCATGTTGTTGTTGTTGTTAAGTGCCGTCGAGTCGGTTCCGACCCATAGCGACCCTGTACAGGGTTTCCGAGGGTGTAAATCTTTACGGGAGTAGAAAGCCTCATCTTTCTCCCGCGGAGCGGCTGGTAGTTTCGAACCGCTGACCTTACGGTTCGCAGCCCGATTCGTAACCACTACGCTACAGCATAGATATGCTAAAACAAGTGGAAGAAATGAGGAAGTGAAACAGCCGAACAGAATATTTCAAAGGTCATCTTGAGAAGACAAAGTCAAGTATTCTAATGAAATGTGCAAAGACCTGGAATTCGAAAATCAAAAGGAAAGAACATGGTTAGCATTTTCAAGCAAAATAACTGAAGAAATGATTCAAGCTTTGACTTGAAATATTAAAGGACCTATGGGAAAAATATTGAATAATGCTGAAAGCATGAAAAGAAGATGGAAGGAATACAGAGAGTCACTGTAACAAAAAAGAAATGGTTGATGTTTACCCACCAGTCACTCCTCAGAAACCCTTTACAGGGTTTCTCTGAGTCTGAACTGACTAGAAGACACTTAACAACAACAACAACAATAATTATGGATTCTTTTTTGACTCTGAACTATTTAAAAATATAGTTTAAGAATTTTAATCACAGGACATCACTACTCACATTACAAAAATCAAAATGTCTATATAAGATTGCTATCAGTGATTGTGTGCTATTTCATCTGAGCTGTATAATTTAAGTTAAAGGTACAAATTCCTAGGAAGACATATATTTCCAAAATTGACTCAAGAATAAACAGAAAATATGAACACATTCATCCTATCATCTCAAAATTCTTAAATCAACACCAAGTCCAACATCTCCGCTATTGAATCATCTAAATCAAATACAGATGAGACTAGGTGTATTCCATCCTGGGCCAAAATTCCTCTTCATCTGTGAACCTGTGAAATCTAGACTATAAGTTTCCAGAACATAGACATGGTATGGACACAAGGTAGGCATTTCCATTACGCATGGGAGAGATTGAAAGTAAAGAAGGCATAGCAGCACCACGCAAGTCTAAACCCAGCAGCTAGTTGTCAAGGCTTGAAAACAATTCTCTGATCTCTGAGACCATTGAGGCAATGGTCTTGCCCTTCAGATTCTGGGTGTTAGAAGTAATCTCTGGATTGTGGGTGACAGTCCTTTGGTGTGGGCTTCAGTTCCACTTTCCAGGCCCATGGGATGACACCTCTGATCCCTTGACTTTGGGCTCCCCATTCTCCTAGTCCAATTGAGTGGTAACCCTTGCCCCATTGTTCTACGTTTTTGCCATGGAATCTCTGCCCCTATAACTTTGGGCAGCAGTCAGGCCCTATCACCCTGGAACTTCTGAACAGCAGTCCTTCACTCAATGACTGAGCTGGTGAAGATCTGACTGTTTGAAACCTAGCAGGTCAGAACCTTACCCTTTGAGACTAAGGCAGCTCTGTTTCCCATCCTCCCTTTCTTTGCAACTTCTGCTTTCTGGTTTCTTGGTTTTTTGATCCCTTGACTTCTGGGGCCTCTTGGGCCAGCCCAGCTTCTGTCTTGCTTGGGGAAATGTAACAAAGTGTATTAGCTCTACCAATAAGTGTCCAGAGGCACCACACTGCCAATAAGCCTCTGGCCCAAATGTGCTCAGATTTCTCCCTGTGTGGATTGGCTCCCACACCATCTTGTTCTGGTCTCTTGGTTCTGGGGCTTTTTTTCGGCCACTGCTTCTCACTGACTGCACCATCTCCTGTATGACAGCTCTCCTCACTTTCTTCTGAGCCCTCATCAGACTTGTCTTTGATGTCCATAATTCTACCTTTTCAAAGTTTTCTCTATTGTTGTTGTTATAAGCACCGTTGAAGAGGCTCCTATTCAAAATGACCATGTATAGTGTTTCTGAGGAGTGGCTGGTGGGTTTGAACCACTGATTTTTTGGTTAGCTGTCCATTACTTATCCTACAGCTCCACACCAGTACTCCAGGCTTTCACTATTAGCCACCCAAAACTCCTCCAGCTTTTAAATCTGCACAGTTTCAAAACTGCCTCCACATTTTAAGGATCTCTTAGAGCAGCACCCCACTCTTCAGTACCATATTCTCTCTGGTCTGTTTTTCAGTTCAATCCATGACAGATGGTGTTTGTTTGTATTTCTAGTTTTTTTTAAAACTACTGTTCTATCATTTGGGTACCAGTTTTTAAGAGGTGAAAGGGGTAATGCAAAGTGTTAGGTCATCATCTTCAATTTTGAAATCCATTCTGTTGAATACCCTTGTATAATAATTTAAGTATACAGATATGTTCACTGTGTATTATAAAATATAACCCCCTTCCCTTGTGTGTATTAACGTCTATTCATCATGGATATCAGCATGACACATGCTGTCTGTCATAAACAAAGTTTATAACTTTTTTCCAAAGGACCAACTGCTATCCTTATCTGTGTCTTTTATTATAAATAAATTAACAAATGAATATTGAATTTTGTTTACCTAATAAAATAACAGATCCTCTCCTCAGATATGATTGTGAGCTCTTCAGAAATCCTAGGGTATCCGATATCAAATCTGTAATGTAGCTCCAATGAGAAAGGTACTGGGAATAAAAAGGAAAAAAA